CCAACCCCGACCGGGACCACCTTCCACCTGGATGCCGATGCCCTCACTGCGGTAGAACATGCAGGTCAAGAATAGGGCTCCAAAGTCACCTACGTACCCACCGCCAGGACACCGCACTTGGAGAACAACCTTACTCGGATAATGAGGGATCGCGTAAGTAAGTAAGTAAGTAAGTAAGTAAGTAAGCTGTCTCTGTTCTGACCACTTTCATAGGGGTGTTTTCTGCAGAACACACCAAGTGGATTCTAGTTTCTGAATTACTATTCCTAACTTTTGGAGCTAGCTTGCCAGGTCAAGTCGTTTTGCAAACTCTGAATCCAATGATCATAGAGCAATCTGCCTGGAAGCTCTTTCAAGAACTGATTGTGCTTTCAGCTTAATGCACCTCAATTTATTTCCTTACCCTCATTGTCCAGGTCTCAGTATTTTCCTGGAACAATAATCCTACCCCGAGAATTGAGTTGTTCTTGAGAGAGTCTTCCATTCTGTGACTTTGGCACTGAGAAAGTTTGCAAATATGTGGTCAATCACTTCTGGATTTTCTTAGCACACAAACACTGGCTTTCTAAACATCCAAACACATTAAATGCGAATAAAAGAATTTCGCAATTCCCAATCTTTTCCTCATTTGTATATTTTGCAAGGGGGAGGTGCACTACCTTGTTTTGGGTTGCAGAAGCTGAAGCTTTCAGAAGAAAGAAACCAAAAGTTTTACAAAAAAAAAAATCTATATGAGAGCCAGGAATTACCTGCAAAACTGCCCAGTTACCTGGATTTTTTCAAAAAATAAGTAAATGGGTCAAAAGTAAAAAGTTATGGTTATATAGCCATATGGTCCTTTCCATCTGATCACCAGATGGAAGTGAACTGGAAAAAAGTGATGCCCACAACATGTCTCAAACCATATGTATTCTCCTAATAGCGCTGCAGCAGTGTTCGTGACTTATCGCACTAACGTTAGCACTGGAAAAAAGTACTTTCTACAGCCTAAGGAATGGGAGTCCTTTATGCAGAGAAAAGCATAGCCTTAGAACATCATTTCTCAACCTGAGGGTCGGGACCCCTGGAGGGGTGGGGTCATGAGGGGGTTACAGAGGGGTCGCCAAAGACCATCAAGAATTTTTCTGTTGGCCATGGGGTTCTGTGTGGGACGTTTGGCCCAATTCTATCACTGGTGGGATTCAGAATGCTCTTTGATTGCAGGTGAACTATAAATCCCAGCAACTACAACTCCCAAATGTCAGGGCCTATTTTCTACAAACTTCCCCAGTGTTCACATTTGGGGATATTGAGTATCCGTGCCAAGTTTGGTCCAGATCCATCATTGTTTGAGTCTACAGTGCTTTCTGGATGTAGGTGAACTACAACTCCAAAACTCAAGGTCAATGCCCACCAAACCCTTCCAGTATTTTCTGTGGGTCGTGGGAGTTCTGTGTGCCAAGTTTGGTCCAGATCCATCACTGTTTGAGTCTACAGTGCTTTCTGGATGTAGGTGAACTACAACTCCAAAACTCAAGGTCAATGCCCATCAAACCCTTCCGGTATTTTCTGTTGGTCGTGGGAGTTCTGTGTGCCAAGTTTGGTCCAGATCCATCATTGTTTGAGCCTACAGTGCTTTCTGGATGTAGGTGAACTACAACTCCCACACTCAAGGTCAATGCCCACCAAACCCTTCCGGTATTTTCTGTTGGTCATGGGAGTTCTGTGTGCCAAGTTTGGTCCAGATCCATCATTGTTTGAGTCTACAGTGCTTTCTGGATGTAGGTGAACTACAACTCCCAAACCCAAGGTCAATGCCCACCAAACCCTTCCGGTATTTTCTGTGGGTCATGGGAGTTCTGTGTGCCAAGGTTGGTTCAATTCCATCGTTGGTGGAGTTCAGAATGCTCTTTGATTGTGGGTGAACTATAAATCCCTGCAAATATAACACTCAAATGACAAAATCAATTCTCTCCAATCCCACCAGTATTCAGATTTGGGTGTATGGGATATTTGTGCCAAGTTTGGTCCAGTGAATGAAATCACATCAGTAGCAAAATTACAGTTATGAAGTAGCAACAAAAATAATGTTATGTTTGGGGGTCACCACAACATGAGGAACTGTATTAAGGGGTCGTGGCATTGGGAAAGTTGAGAATCTCTTGCAAACTGGTTGAAATGTGTTTGAGATAATATTATGCAATCTGGAGCCTTTTGAATCATTGTTAGGCAGCTGTCGTTGCACACTTCAACCCTTGGGTGATAATCTCTTACGCGCTGGAGCAGGTTCATCACCTCTGTGATACTTGAGTCCCGAGAATTGCGGAAATCACTGAAAGCTGAGTAAACATTGAACATGGCTAGTTTAGATGTACATAGAAGGCTAGGAGGGGACGTTGAGTTTTGGTGACTTGTGTTTGGCTATAGCTCCATTGAGAGGTGAAAAGGACAGGAAAAACCTCCCCGAATGGCAAGGGGATTCCAAGAGGTGTTAATTGGACCTTTGGGCCAATGCAACCGTGAACCCTTCCGGATGTAGTTTGGGTGGGTGGGTACGAAAGGGAAGGTGTTTTTCTTTTCCTTCTGAAAAGCCCTTGTTTTTCCAGAAGGATGTTTGTGCATTACAATGAAGACTCGAGCTCACCCCACAGCTCCCATAAGGGTTTCTTTGGGTGGGTTGTTGAAAGTGCTCTCCATGGTTTCAATAAACACCAGCTGTGAAATGGAAGGGGGGACAGAGACTTTGTCTTCCTCTCGCACACAAACACAAACGCACTCCCTACAAACTCTCTCTCTCTCCCCCAGTACATCTGGTGCCAATTAAAAGAAGCTCAAAATAGAAAAGAAATGAGAGAGTCTGAACCAACCTGATCCTTATGGTGGGAGAAGAGCCCTGGGGAATTCTGGATTTGGGCCCCCGCCCCGACCCCGGATCACCCACTTGGATCGATGTGTGTGGGAGGAGGACAACAACACCCAGCCGAAGTAAAGCAAGGAAGCGAAAGGGATTTTTTTGCGTGGGCCGCTAACTGCATTTTGAGTTGTAGACAATGGGTGCATCAACATTATAGATGTTGGGAATCAGCCTGTGTTTGTGTTTCAGGATCCTGATGTGGGAAATGATGAGGGAAATGATGGTGCCGAGGCTGAGGTACAAGATTTAAATTTTCAGGCAGACAATGACAGAGAGGCCCCAGTGCAAAGGGCAGTTTCTCATGAGAATATCCTTGCTGGGCCTAGCAATGATAGTTCACTCCCTCTCTCTGTGAGCTCTCAAGATTTGGGTTTGGAAAACAATCTGACACCTGGGAATTTTAATGAGCAGCCAGATAAGGAGCTGAAGAATAGGTGGCTGGAGATTAGCCAAGATCGACAGCAAACTCAGTGTTTACGTTGCTTCGAAAGCCTTCGTCTGATAAGGGGTAAATGTGGGGAAAGCRAAACCAATTTCTGAGTTTTGGGATATAAGGTTTGCCTCAAGGGGAAACCTGTTAGATCAGGCATCGTTTGGAAACCAAGTTCATGTGCCATGGAAATCCTGTTCAAGGGGTCTTGTTCCTGTGGAGTTTTTTTAGCCTTTTGGATTGTCTGTTGATTCCTGTCTGGATTAATGCTGTCTTGGATTGTTTTTATCTCTTGTGTGGACATTGCTTTGTGTTGCTGCTATTTATGGACTTTTTGGAACCTTCTGATTTTCTTACAAGCAGTTATTTCTTCTGGCTATTTACTAAGCTTCAATAAAAGAAGATTTGTTTCTTCACTCTTCGTGTGGTGTGTTTTAAAGTCAGAGGGCTTCCTGACCTGGAGTGCAACAACAGAAGTAATGCAGTCTTTGTTGCTTATTCATTTAGTCATTTCCGACTCTTGGTGACCTCCTGGACCAGCTCAGGCCAGAGCTCCCTGTTGGCTGTGGCCACCCCCAGCTCCTTCAGAGTCAAGCCAGTCCCTTCAAGGTTGCCATCCACCCACCTTGCCTTTGGTCAGCCTCTCTTCCTTTGTCCTTCCATTTTCCCCAGCACGAAAGCAAACAAAGCAAACCAATAAATAAACAAGCAACATCAATATAAACTTATAATAAGTAACCAATTAGTAAGTAAATTAGAAACAAAATAAAATAATTAGTTAAAAGAATAATAAAATTTCATCAGACATATTTACTTCTAACACTTCTACCTCTATTCTGTTCTAAAGACTGGTTTCTTCCATAGAATTAGAGTCATTACTTAACAAATGGTTTGCCACATATAGATCTTCCTTCATTTTTTCTTTGAAGCTGTAAAATAGTATTAGCAAAAGAAAAGGATTTATTTATCAAATCTATGGATAACACTGTGTAACCCAATTTGAATAATTTACTCTTCCTGATTTGAAAGTGCGGTGATTACTTTGAAAGTCGTTGTTCTACTCCAGAAACTTCGTTTTTGTGGCTGCCACAAACTAGGTTGAATTGGTTGAGACTCAATGAGATACTCATTGAAAAAGTATAGCAAAATGTGTTGCAGTTTGTTGTTGTTTATTCATTCTGTCACTTCCGATTCTTGGTGCTCTCCTGGACCAGCTGTGGCCACCCCTAGCTCCTTCAAGGTCAAGCCAGTCACTTCAAGGATGCTATCCACCCACCTTGCCCTTGGTCGGCCCCTCTTCCTTTTTCACAGCTTCTGCCAACCTAGCAGTTTGATAACATGCAAATGTGAGTAGATCAATAGGTACCACTCTTGCAGGAAGGTAACAGCGCTCCATGCAGTCATGCCAATGGCCACATGACCTTGGAGGTGTCTATGGACAATGCCAGCTCTTCGGCTTAGAAATGGAGATGAGACCACCCCCCAGAGTCAGACACGACTGGACTTAATGTCAGGGGAAAATGTTTACCTTTACTTAGCTATGCCACTAAGGTATTTATGTAACTAAGCAGCACATATAGAGTTCTAGCCATCCTCTTCTTTGGTATTTGACTATTTGCTTTCATTTTTTGTCTGGAGTCATCAGAAGAGCAGATGTTAACAATGGCATCAACCTACCTTGCACTTTGGGTTTGGCTTTCAAATGCCGCTCGCACTTGGCCTTGGCTTTCCGCAGCAAAAAGACCTGTTCCTCCACGGTCAAGACGTCATCGTTATCCACCTGAAAGAAGAGAAACAAACAAGGTCAAGCTCACACTTGTTGCCATAGACTTTGTGAATGGGAGGAGACAGACAACTGAACGTATGCAATTCTGACCATTGTTTTTGGAAGCTCTTAATGTAAATTCACTTGTTGGAATAATTTGTTTTCATCTATGCTTTGAAGCACCATTTGGTCACTGGGATCTCCATGCATAAGGATCTTGGAGCACCTTTGGGACTCATAAGGTTTTGTAGACTTAGGCTCTGTCTAGTTAGAGACTATAGGTGCATCTACACTCTAAAAATAATGCAGTTTGGCATTGCTTTAACTGCAATGGCTGAAAGCTTCTGACTCTTTGGAGTTACTTTAACAAGGAGCTTAGTTTTCTAGCTTTCTCTGCCAAAGAGTGCTGATACCTCACTAAACTACTAAAAACTCTGGGATAGGATTGCCATAAATCAGACCTCAGTTGAAGATGCACACAATATTATTATTTATTATCATTAGTAACAACATCAAAAAGCATAACCAACAATTCATTTGTGTACTGACATAGAGGACCTACTTATGACAATCCACATAACAAACAATTCATTGGTGTACTTATGACAATCATCATAAAGATTCCTTCCAAACACTGCAGTTACATTGCTGTGTATCAACCAACCTATTCTAGAAACTTGCATTTTTACCAGGAACAGGTCTTTCGCAAAGCCAACGGCTCTTAACTATCCATTTCAGACCATAGAGTTACCATCCGTATCCGTGCCCTGTTTATCCCACTAGCTCAATAGATATCTTGAGCAATGCTCAATCTATTTGCCCCCAAGGAACTGGGAAATGTATGCTTGATGTTTTGTCTTATGTCTGATATAACAGGTTGCGTTTTATATTTAATTTTAGTTGAGAGAGAGACAGAGGTGGAGATGGCCACCTTTCCTGAAGGTAGGTGCAAAAACAAAGGAGGGAGCGGAGGTGGGAGATACCTCCAGCCGGAGGGTCTCTCTCTCTCTCTCTCTCTCTCTCGGTCCCAATGGCTGAAGAGAAAGTCAGGAGAAGAGGCGACTTTTGGTGCGCATGCCTCCGGACCCAAAGAGGGCCAGGCGCGGCGGCTCTGCCACTTGCCCCACACGCGGTTTGGGGAGAGGAGAGGAGGCGGGTGGAGCACCAGGGGATCGGGAAAGGGAGCCGGTCATGGGGAAGGGATCGAATGTGGAGAACAATTGAGCGCCGGCTCTGCTCGCGCACCCGGTGGCCAGGTGGAGCAGGAACGAGAGAGGCTAAGCGAGGCTCAAGGGCCCGGCCACTTTGGGAAAAGGATCGCCCGGCAGCGAGGCAAGAAAGCTGAGGCTCCCCCCGGACTGCTAGGGCTGTTGTGAGCTGAGGGGGCGCTCCTCAAGTGGTGGTCGGGGGCATTTAGAGAGGCACCTCTGCACCCCTGGCAAAAAAAAGTGTTCTGCGACCGCTTACTTCATGTAATGGACGAGCCGCCCCTGCTCTTAGTCTTAACTACATATATTGTCACTGGAATGGTCCCTTTCAACTCAGCGATTGTGTGACTAGAATCAGAAATGCTAATAAACTTCACAAAACTTCCAGTTCATTGTACTTCCTTCGGCATCTCAGAAAGACACAGCTTCAGGACAACAAATAAAAGCATTTTAATTCTGCTTAATTAATCTGTAAAAGGTCAGGGGAGCAATCGGACCAGAAAATCCACTAATTATTTGGTAACCTCAAATGAATATTAATGAACAACATGACTAAGAAGACGGCTCCACCATGGATGTGCCTTCTCACCTTCCACTTCAGGTTGACGTATGTGGATGCTTCTGATCCACATAAAAAATGAGATGTTAATGGGAAGAGCCATGAGTTTGCTCCTTTATATGAGCAATAAAATATCCAAAAAGAAGCCAGGGAAAGATGGTTAATTCTTTTATCCTCTGTGGAAAACACCTGGGGTCTCCTGGGATGCAAAAGAATAGCATTGGAAAAGGTTCAGCTCTGGGGAAAGTGACCATTTTTCATATAACAGGGAGCAACTCCTAGATTAATTTCTGTTGCAATCTTACTACATAGCCATCAGCGGAGGATAGCGTGTATCTTATCTACATCAGTGTTTTTCAACCTTCCTAATGGTGTGACCCCTTAATGCAGTTCCTCATGTGGTGGGGACCCCCAACCATAACATTATTGTTGTTGCTATTTCATAACTGTCATTTTGCTATTGTTATGAATCGTAATGTAAATATCTGATCTGCAGGATGTATTTTCGCAAATATCCTATACACCCAAATTTGAATGCTGATGGGGTTGGAGGGGGTTGATTTTGTCATTTGGGAGTTGTAGTTGCTGCAATTTATAGTTCACCTACAATCAAAGAGCATTCTGAACTCCACCAATGATAGAATTGGGCCAAACTTGGTACACAGAATTCCCATAACCAACAGAAAATACTGTAAGGGTTTGGTGGGCATTGACCTTGACTTTTGGAGTTGTAGTTCACCTCCATCCAGAGACCACTGTGGGCTCAAACAATGATGGATCTGGACCAAACTTGGCACAAATACCCAATATGCCCAATGTGAACTGGTGGAGTTTGTGGAAAATAGACCTTGACATTTGGGAATTGTAGTTACTGGGATATATAGTTCACCTATACTCAAAGAGCATTCAGAACCCTAGCAATGATAGAATTGGGCCAAACTTCCCACACAGAACCCCCATGACAAATATAAAATACTTGAGGGATTTGGGCTCCTAAGTCTATAAGAAATATGTGTTTTCTGATGGTCTTTGGGGACCCCTCTGAAACCCCCCCCCCTCATGACTCCCCCCAGGGATCCCAACCCTCATATTGAGAAACACTGATCTACATTATACCATTTGAGCAATTTGAGACCATCTTAACTGGATCCCCTGTACAGAAATATAGGTTTTGTAGCTGGGCAATAAACCAAGAACGATCTTGCAGAGAATTGGGTTGTTGTAGGTTTTTTTCAGAGAATTTGCAGAGAATTCTTAGTACATCATGGAACTGCATGAATATCAAGCAAAAAGTGGATGCTAGAAACAATATCGCATGAAAGCTGACTGGCACAACCTGGGGATCACAACCAGACACAGTGAAGACATCTGCCCTTGCGCTGAGTATGCTCCTGAGTACGCATGCCCAGAGTGGAACACATCTCACCACGCTAAAACAGTGGATGTGGCTCTTAATGAGACATGCCGCATTACCACGGGGTGTCTGCGCCCTACACCACTGGAGAAACTACACTGTTTAGCCGGTATTGCACCACCTGACATCCACAGGGAAGTAGCAGCCAATAGTGAAAGGACCAAGGCAGAGACATCTCCAGCTCATCCCCTGTTTGGGTATCAGCCAGCACGCCAATGACTTAAATCAAGAAATAGTTTTCTAAGATCTACAGAGACACTCGCTGGAAACACCTCAGCAAGCAAGAGTCCAAAAGTGGCAGGCTCAAACCCAGAACCTCAACCAATGGCTGATACCAAATGAGAGACTCCCTCTGGGCACACAGAAGACTGGGCAACTTGGAAGGCGCTGAACAGACTGCGCTCTGGCACCACGAGATGCAGAGCCAACCTTGAAGAAATGGGGCCACAAAGTGGAATCCACAACATGCGAGTGTGGAGAAGAGCAAACCACTGAGCACCTGCTGCAATGCAACCTGAGCTCTGCCACATGCACAATGGAGGGCCTCCTTGCGGCAACATCGGAGGCACTCCAAGGGGCCAGATACTGGTCAAAGGACATTTAATCAACTACCAAGCTTGCAAATTTTGTATTTTGTCTGTTTGTTTGTTTTGTTCTGTTAGAAATGTAATACAATTGTCTGGTTGCCTGACATGATAATAAATATGGAACTGCAGATCCCAAGATGCAGCTAGATTGTTGGCATCAAACCACTATAATAATGTAGTGGAAATATATTCGTAGTATGATTGAGAAAGGACCTCAAATGCACCTCCCTTGGATTCTATAGCACTGAGCCATGGGAGTCCAAAGTGGGGTCAGACTGCATTAATTCTACAAATATAGTCATAGAATCATAGAATCAAAGAGTTGGAAGAGACCTCATGGGCCATCCAGTCCAACCCCATTCTGCCAAGAAGCAGGAATATTGCATTCAAATCACCCCTGACAGATGGCCATCCAGCCTCTGTTTAAAAGCTTCCAAAGAAGGAGCCTCCACCACACTCCGGGGCAGAGAGTTCCACTGCTGAACGGCTCTCACAGTCAGGAAGTTCTTCCTCATGTTCAGATTGGAATCTTCTTTCTTGTAGTTTGAAGCCATTGTTCCTCGTCCTAGTCTCCAGGGAAGCAGAAAACAAGCTTGCTCCCTCCTCCTTGTGGCTACCTCTCACGTATTTATACATGGCTTCTCAGCCTTCTCTTCTTCAGGCTAAACATACCCAGCTCCCTTAAGCTGCTCCTCATAGGGCTTGTTCTCCAGACCCTTGATCATTTTAGTCGCCCTCCTCTGGACACATTCCAGCTTGTCAATATCTCTCTTCAATTGTGGTGCCCAGAATTGGACACAATATTCCAGGTGTAGTCTAACCAAGGCAGAATAGAGGGGTAGCATTACTTCCCTAGATCTAGACACTAGGCTCCTATTGATGCAGGCCAAAAGTCACACCGTTAAAGGCTGAAGCAATGGCTTTGGAGACCAATGCAGACTTTGGCTATCCAGCTCTTCCCATTACACAGCACTGTCTCCCAAGGTATGTTAGCAGCAGAATGCAAAGCAAATTGAAACACAATGGTATGTGTACACCCATGCGCTGCACAATCCCTTGGCAGGCGATCATTTGCACGTGCTATTTGAAGAATGGCATTAACCAATACCATCCCGGAGGCCTTTCGATGTTGGCACCGGAGTGCCATGGATCGCCTATAAATACAATGCAAGACAACAGCTGGACGTGACGGTTTCCGAATGGAAGTTAAAATATCGGCGGGGTTAAAAATATGAGGGTCTCCCCCT